GATGATGATAATGATGTATGATAGTGGTATGGAACAATGATTGATGAATGTCGATGATGGTGATGTTCATGATAGCAATACCTTTATTAGGACCCTCCTTCTTGACAGTAAGTAAAGTGGCAGGATGTCCACAACCACAAACAACTGCGTTTTCATCCCTGCAAAGAAAACAAAAACAAAGAAAAAAGCCCCACACAATTCCTTTAGATATTTTCTCGACAGTATGAAAAATCAAAGGCATTTTCACGCACAGCTAAAACAATCGATACGGAAGGAATATCACTTCTAATCTTCATTACTTACGTTGGATTGGAACTGAACGAGTCAAAACTACTTCCTGGAAATGAATTAACAGAGTATGTGTTTTTAATAAGATTTCATGGCAAAGAATATAGGAATAGACCTACTGCTGTGTTCCTTGATTGCAGACTTACTTACTCCGGGTTAATATTATTTCAGTATCCAAATATCCCAAATACCAACAGTGAAGTAAAGAATGCACAACTTCATCAATACAAATACTTTGAAATTCGACGGACTTTCACTGAAACACATGAATATTCTACGAAAAATCGAGGTTAACTGCGTAAATGGATCTGTAGTCAAGGAACACAGCGGTACTTTTTAGTTAAGAATTCGAAAAATACCTGATCCAAATCCTGAGTCTCTTGAACTACTTCCACTCCACGTGTTACCACTCCCTCCAAAACCACCGCCATTAAAACTGGACTGGCGTATATAATTCTGGGTATTCCTGTCAAACTGGTTTGTCTGGTTAAACGAGTTATTTTGGCTTCCATTTGTTGTGGTGGTAGTTTGGTTTCCACGTCCTTTTCCTCTTCCTCTGTCTGCTCTTCCTCTGTCTGCTCTTCCTCTATCCGCTCTTCCTCGTCCAGGGTTGGCGCTTGAAGACGAGTTGGTTTGTCTGGCTGGCTGTGATGTTCTTGTGGTTTGAGATGAACCTAATGAGTGTTTACAAGCTTAGTTGACCTTCAGAACAAACTAAAGGTCGACCAATCAGAATTGAGGATTTGACATGGTATTTTAATTAGCATTTTCTATGATTTTGCGTGCCCCTCACTGACATGACAATGAAAAAAATGGCGGACAAATCTTAGTGTGATGGTGATGTGGTACAGAAGAGGCAAAGAATTACGAGACGATTACGAGCAATTATGAATTTTTTATTCCTTCAGCATTGCTATGTTAAAAGCTAACCAAAAAATAGTTGGCCCATATTTTTCTTACGGGGGACACGTTTTACTCTGGTGGTAAGAAAGCAACAAGCAATGCAAGAAGTCTAACCACAGGGAGCCCAACTCGATCTTTACCTCTCGATGGTTGAGTAACGTTGGATATATCTTTGATGTCTAATGTCTCACGTAACATCTCATCACATCCTCCTATACAGCTAGTGTACCTGTATCAATAATTATCAAACTCATGAATAATTAATGAGGAAAACACAATAGAAATCACAGCCGTGAAGAGTTCTGTAAATCAGATACAGAATTGTGTTCATTTGCATAAACTTTAACTTGGATTTTCTTGGGCAGACTTTAATTTGAGAATTTTAGTGAAACACAAAGGAACTAACCTAGACGTTTGATAAGCAATCTACAGTATTCGCCTCGAGTTGGTATATCGGATACAACACGGCCACTCATACTGTATATATTACTAACAGAACATTACAATGTCGAAAAGTCCTTAATAGCTACACTAGATGGAATTTCCAATAAGAGCGCGCAATATTACTGATCACCCAATCAGAATGCTCAATGAATACCTCATCTTCACGGTCACGCTACACAGTATGGTCACGGTATGTAAATAACATCATTTGTTTAACCAATCAGAGTGCGCAATATTACTCTTTATCCAATCAGAATGCCCGCATACCTAACAATCACCGTCACGGTCACGGCACAGCAATTCCATACTGTGAAACGTCACGACACGCAGCACCGTTACAAAATTTATATCCTTTGAAGGAATCGAGGAGCGAGATCAATCCTTCACGATACGTTCGTACTGTGAGTTTTCTCAGATATGACGAAATCTACTCTACGAAATCAGCTCCATTCAACGTTGAATGTAGCTACAGCGTTGCTTAAGAAGTTTACTTACTGTAGTGGTAACATTGGAGGTACTGATCCTCTTTTGAAGGTAAATCGTAGTCGGTATACGTCACCCGGTCCACACACACGACAGATGGAATCATCGACTGCTGCTTCTAATACGAACTTGGGTAAAAATATTGATGCTCGACAGTTGGGAAAACCAAGACATCCTATCATATAACTAGATAACAAGGAAAACAAATACGATTATTTTGAGCAACAAGGACCCCTTTATTTTGGTTTTCAATCATTCCCAAGGGAGTGAAATAACAAAAGACCAGTGGTTGATTTAGCAAAATGATTCATTGGAAATTCTTTTGTTAATTTAACCAAGATGGCGGCTATAACGTCATGTACAAACGAAGAATTCACACCACTAGTCATGTCCTTGAGTATTATTCTCTTATTTTTTCAGTAACGCAAGACAAAGACTTTTATTCCTAGTAAGTTTGAGATGGGCAAAATAAAGTTACTATCGTTAATCAAATACCTTTCACGCGCGTTTGCTATTTTACCGCTTGTTTTGGACATGCGCAGTAGGCCTCACCCTCCCCAACACCGTTCACATTAAATCTAGAATAATCAATGACAATAAACTACTTATATTTAAATTTAACTGCTAAATATAATAAACATATAGCAATACTTACTTTCCTTCTTTAGTCTTTCTTAAAACCATTTGTTCTTGTTTACATCTTGGACATAATCTGACTTGGGGGTTGGCGATTTGCGGCTCTATCGCTATAATAACAGCAAATTAAATGAAAAAAAGTACGTCTTTATTTGGAACAATAATACTCCTAGTCCAAACACCCACAAAAAAGACCCTGAACAAATAAAAAGCAATCTTGAAAACGGCGCCCTATTGCTATTCATAAGAGAATCCCACACACTTCAGTCGACATCCTGAGAAGAGGCGCCAATGCCTTCACTATAACTCTTGCCATAAATAATATAAACTTAATATTAATTTATAAATCAATGACTGAGTATTCAGCATCCTTGGTGCCAGAGTTCCTTCTCTCAAATGCCTGAGGAAAGTGAGACGGGAGACTCTTAAGGCTCAGGTCAAACGTCRAACTTCACATGAGCCGAACCTAATTGAARCAATGGATAACAAGGCAGTCTTCTTTGATGTCATTATGTTCGGCTCATGTGAAGTTCGATGTTAGACATGAGCCTAAGGACGTTCTTTCTGCTGAATTGTTTTGTTTTATACAGTAAATATATGGGAAGGAAATTTTGGAACCGTGCAAATAGCTGCCCGTTAATAGTGTCCTCTAAGTAGAGGTGTCATTGTAAATCATTCTTTTCATGATTTTTGGTCAGTCTTACTAACCGGGTTCTGTATAAGCCTCTGGATTACCAAAATAGGCCGACAAAGCCTGATCAAGTTTTAAGGCCTGAAATAGATAATCAAAGAGATGGATTAATAAGGTGAGATTTAAGTAATAACTAAAGAACACTGTATGAAATACAAACCTCCTGCGCTGCTTTGACGAAACTCTCCTTGTATTTAGCAATTTGCTCGCGTAAAACAACTGTAGTTGAGAAAATATATGGAAAATTTAGAGCTTGCGCAATCGTGGAGACAAATACCCCCACCCACCCACCCTCCGTAAGGTGATGGAAATCGATGCTACAATATAGTATAGAGAGCCTCACACCAACTGACTTGGGCATTTACACCGAGCTAGAAGTTTGGAGCCATATTATGGTATCCCCCAGAGATCTTACTTGGGTCCGTCGATTTTCCGATAGCTCATTCAAATCGAAACAGAACCGTGTTTGGAGCCATTTTAATATAAGAGAGGCTAATAAAGTTTTTATTATATTATTTTCTTAGATCGTAAACTAAGACGTTACAAACCTGCACCCCTTTTAGAGCCATCTTCAATTCTAAAGTAAGAAAAAAGGATGATAGATATTACATCAACCTGTTTAGCATAGTACTCTTAACAGAATGAGGATATAAAATGGGTTAACTGTGTTATAAGGACGGAGAGAGGTTGGGCTGGTAGAACTGATCAGAGAACGTTACCTTTTCAGATCAGCCTCAAGCTCTGCTCGTAATCTGGGCTTTGAGAACTCAAATTTCATTAAATCATAACCTGTGAATGCAAATAAATATCAAACTAAAACAGGCACCACCAAGGAAAACAGGCACACAAAGGAAAACAGGGTCATATACTGACCCGTTTGACCCACACAACTAGCTATAATTCAAGTCATCTGTATTTTTCATTTTCCATCGGTCTAAGTTAGTAACTTATTGATTGACGGGAGCAAAAAATCCAGACGTCTTGGGCTATGTTGGTAGTGTGTATCCATGGAAATGGAGGTGGCAATATTATTTGAGTGTCTGCACAAGGCTAGGCAATCTTTTGAATAATATATGGATTAGGCAAGCAATGTATTGTTTGCAAAAACAATATATTTTTATCATATGTTTTTCTCTTGTCAAAAACGAATATAAGTGTTGTATTTTTTAAATTAAAGTTTAAGATCGGATAAAAGGTTCCCTGATTGGCTGAGCTGATTACATACCTTCAACCAGTCCCATGCCTAGCTGTCCAGGAAGGAATGTACCATCAGCCTGGACACCGACGTACGATCTGCTCTTTATTGTCTCGATATGGTCTGCGTGGGTGGCGTCAGTACCTTGTTACAAGAACAAAAGTCAAATGACAATTAAAACCATTTGGCTACATGATCACTTCGCAAAACGGAGGGGGTAGGGGGGGCTCTTGGGTAAAAGTATCGGGGGAAGGGGGGAAGTACGCCCTTTATGGAAGGGAACAAAGTTAAGGTTTACTTACCTATACCATGTTTTTCCATCAGAGCGATCAGATCAGCTTCAGAGAGCAATGGCGGAGGGGATGTCATTCCATCAACCATCTAAACAACGGAAAATACACGTAACTATTCAACATTGTACATCTTCCATAACGAACAACTTAACAAAGCTTTCGTATATTTTTTATCTGACCTCGATCGAAGATGGCTGGAATTGTTGGCCTTGGTCATATACTGGAATTGTCTGGAAAAAATCAAAGCGTCTCTTTTTTAGTTCTGAAAAATGATATGACTGCTGAATCAAAGTGGATTGTAGCTTGGGCGTAATGTTGAACCATTGCAAACCACTGGTCATTCACCAGCTCTAGTATTATTTCATTCTCTTGCATGAGAAGTCATAAGAATATAGGAGTGCACGTCGGAATGCAGCTCAGTTTGGAGGGCATAACGATAGGTTTCCAATTTTCAGATTGAAATTCTTTTGCTTTGCCCTCCAAATTGAGATCGTTGGACGTCACATGCAAGGGGTCTATTCATGAACCAAAACTACTAAAGCTTATGTAGATTTACCTTGTCGCTCCACTTGTCATATGGATAGACATCTAAGTAATTCCGCTCAAGTATCATCAGTCCAGTTGCTGTGAACTTTAATGTAGAGTAAATATCTATCAGCAACGAGACGGTGGACTACGACGCAGTACAGTAGTAGCTCCATCCAACCAATCATACCACAAGATAGCAGGGCCCGGTTGTAAGAAGCCTGGATAGCGCTATCTGACGGATAAATCTTATCCAGTGGATAAATTTATTGGATAACAGCATCGACTTATCCATTGGATAAGGATTTATCCGCCGGATAGCGCTATCCAGGCTTCGTACAACCGGGCCCAGAAAATCAAATGGCACGGTCACGGTACATAAATGAATTTGGTTGTACCAATCAAAAAGGGCGAAACCACCGCAGAGACAACTGAGGGATCAGTATGAAAATCTTAAAACGTTAAAACAAGCAATGCGCAGTATTATATTTTTAAAACTAACCTTTTCTCCCGCTATCTCGATATCCACGCTTGATTCTCGACCAACAGCATCCTTTAAAATAAGATGAAAAATGTTCAAGACTAATTGTTGAATCCTTGATTTTTGATTTGACAACAAACATTGAATATATACTATATCGCAACATCACATGACTTTTAATTAAGTCTAATTTAAAGATCTAGATTTGAATATCTCGAGAAACTAACCTTGGAACAGCAAGCAAGAAAGTACCTCACAATAAACTCATATAGTCGTTTTTCATTACCCTGAGATAATAAAATGGACAATAAAAAAGGTGTGAGTATTTTTCCCCCTTTCCTTTTTTCCTTCTTTTCTTCCTCCCTTCCCTTCCTCCATAACTGAAAACTTGTAAAGTGTCATTCCTTTAACCCTTAGCCCTGCTTTTCCTCTCTTCTCCCCTAACCTCACTTCTTACAGGTGTCCTTACCCCCCCTGGTTTTTGGGTACCATACAGACAACTGAAGATGAGCTTGGACTTGCTGTTGTCTATCCAGATACATCTTTATCTTACCTGCAAGTTACCAGTGTATTTGGTAGGGTGAATGGGAGGATGTGCATTATCAGTCTTCTTGCCTTGTCTGGGGTGTGGACCATCAGCAAGCACTCTTGAGGCAAAAGCTGGAACAATAAAAGTCAGTAAGGTCAATGGGACACTGACTCTGCTCTCTCTGAATAGTCCCTCTCACAGTTCCCTGTGCCATCTTGAAAGGTAGCCGTGCCTTTGCATCTAAGGGAGACGAACGGTGAGCTTGCAATGATAGAGACCTTTTTTTAACACCTTGGACAATTATTCACATGACTCTATCATTGCAAGCTCACCGTTCCTTTGCTTCTTGATTGATGGCACCAAGAAAACGAGTTTCAGTGAGCAGCTTGTACTGTAACAACTGAGCACAAATATCAAAAACTGTAGTAATACGTTCTTTGTCATTCAACTATTTACTCAATACAAGAACTGCAAGGCATTGGTACAAGTATTGGTTTATTTCTGATCACTTATACATCAAGAATATTTACCTCCCCAGTTCGCATCTTCAGTTTGTTTTTCAACCAGCTCCGTGAGGTTTAATGATTGTGGGAAGATGTTTGTCTCAGTACGTGGATAGCTAATGAACCTTTAACAAATAGTAAATAAATTCCTCACTAACTGTACCCTGACTTAGATCAGCCCAGAGGTTGTTTCAGGGTTGGATTTGAGAGTTAGTCATGCCCTGACTTAGATCAGCCCAGAGGTTGTTTCAGGGTTTGATCTGTGAGCTAGC